TGAGTTTTCCAGAACGAGCGGCTGAGTTTTCCGGAACGAGCGGCTGAGTTTGCCGGAACGAGCGGCTGAGTTTTCCAGAGCGAACGGCTGAGTTTTCCAGAGCGAGCGGCTGAGTTTTCCAGAGCGAGCGGCTGAGTTTTCCAGAGCGGCTGAGTTTTCCAGAGCGAGCGGCTGAGTTTTCCAGAGCGAGCGGCTGAGTTTTCCAGAACGAGCGGCTGAGTTTTCCAGAGCGAGCGGCTGAGTTTTCCAGAGCGAGCGGCTGAGTTTTCCAGAGCGAGCGGCTGAGTTTTCCAGAGTGCTGCTGTCGCGTTGAGCCGGCGCTCGGCTCCAGAGTGCGAAACCTAAACAGTCTTTGTTTATCTCAGATTATACTTCCACTTTCATTACCTCCGCTTCTCCTCCTTTGTGGCCAAATGTGCTTCATCTGAGATAATTGGAAACGACAATTGGAAATTGCAGAAATCCGGCTAATATGAGATGAAATATTACAATTTACAGAGTTGGTGAAACATTTCTCCTGTCGGTGGCGCGGCTGCAGCTTCGGAGCGGACTTGTCCGTTACTGTTTGCAGCCGCGTGATGAATCTGTGGATGTGTGTGTCTCCTCCTCTCCCTCGTCTTCCTCCCGCCGTTTCTCTCTCTGCGACGGTCGCAGCGATCAGCAGGATTATACATGACAGCCACTCAGCACCTCCTCTGCTCGCGTCTCCTGCGAATCTTTATTATCCCGACCGGCTTTATTGGAATTTCTCCTGAGTGCAAAAACCAAATAGGATGAAAGAAATAGAGATGATGAGGAACGGGGATGATATGTGCTAAAGTTTTCAACATCTTGATTCTGTAAATACATTTGATTCCTGTTTATCCAGGTAAAGTTCATCATCAGAATGAAAATCGACTTCATGGGGAAATAATCTCATGTTTTGATGAAATACCCAGCAGAGAGTAAACCTTCATGGATTTGTTCTCGTGTCTTTTAGGTTGTTTTTGTTCGGGCCGACGTTGTAAATCACATACCGACATAAAGTTATCATAAAGTTAATATTAATGTTCAGTAAATTTTATTTTTTTGCTGTTTAATATTGACTCACTTTGGTGATGCTTTCAGAGAACCTGGGATTTTCTAAATGTGTTTTGGTCCTACAGCCTTTAACTGAAACAAACTATAAGTTTCCAGACTTTTCAGGGTCATTGAACGCACCACCATACCAACGTGTTTCACACTTCACCTCCTGCACACATGCTCATGCTTTCTGGTTTGTTTTGAGTTTTTATTCACCTATTTAACAATAATTTGAGGTTAAGCTAATCGTGTTTCCATGTTGGCAGTTTGATCAGGTGGGAAACGGGCGTGGCCTTCTCTGACTAAACCAGATCGGTTTATTTCTGATTTATTTATATTTTCCTCCTCGTTGAACTAAATGAGGGACGGCTTCTTAAAATATAAAAGCCCTCCATTAAAAATGTACGCCACCCTGTCTGCCTGCCTCCCTGCTGCCATTTTGCATTTGGGAATCCAGGCGGCGATGAAAGGCAGAGCAAGAGACGGAGCTGCAAGTAATAAACAAAGGAGCGAGAAGAAGGAGCGCGAGCGCCGGCGACATTTTGTGATATTTGCATGAAGCGAGCGGGGAGTTTGGCATGTGGTGGGCAGGAGCTCGCTGTCAGCCAGCTGGATTAACCACCAGACTGGGAGTTCATTCCCAAAATCACTTTATTTACTCTGCAGCACATCAGCAGACTGAAGGTGGGCTTTGCTGCATATCTGCCGCTCCAAACAGGACTGGATTCACCGGACCGGGTTTATACATAAACGTAATGCAGTTATGTTAAAAGAAATTCAAATCAATTCAATAAAGTTGCTCCAGTTTGAATAAAAATCTAATAATTCCCCCTGAGGACGGTCTCATGTGGCCCAGACAAAGTTTCAGAACAGTACAAATATGATTCTCCACTTTTCCAAAGTCTGGACTAAAAGTGTATAAAAGAAAATTTCCCCACCTGATAGAGACTCGGTTGCATCATCTGCTCACCTCCAGCTGCTGTGGCTCTGAGTCAAACCAACCTGTTCCCCTCCTGGCCTGTGGGGGCGCTGCACCAAGAACCACTGAAGGAAACGACACAAAAACCTCTGAAGACACTGATTTTCTTAATTGTACATTAAAATGGAGTGTCATCAGATTTTAGTGATTTGAGGATTTCTTGAGCCGCTTCTCCTGCTAGCGCTAGGCTAGCTAGCATTTGTTTTGGTTGTATTTACCCAGAATGCCCTGTGCTGTAGTCCACTTCCTGTTTTTGGAGCGGTCTCTGGTCCGTTCAGACAGATTCTAACCAAACAAAGACCGAGGTTTGGAGGACCAGAGTTCGGTTTTATGGTATGATCCGGAGTTTTAGGCAAACAGACTGGAGTTGGATTAAACTGGATTAAACCAGATTAAACTGGATTAAACCGAATTGAACCGGACTCACTAACGGTGAAATAAAACCGTTTTTGCTGCCAAATATGGCACCGCCAGCTAGCAGGTTTAGGGTGTTTCCTGTAATCAGATTCTGCTCTGCGGCTGAAGACCCTGGTGGAGAAAGTCCAACTGTCAGTTCACCTAAAACCCAAGCAGAGTTTGGTTCTGCATCAAACTCTGTTGATCGTTAGAACAGAAACACATTTCTGGAGCGGCCTAATCAAAGTTTGGACTTGAGTCTAGGGCTGGCTTCTAAATCAGTTTTATTGATTAATAAAATTTTTGGTTTTTGAAGAATTAATTTTTGGGAAAATCTGGATTTTCTTTACCAGTGAACTCATGTAGTGATGTCATCACGCCCAGGGCGGCCATCTTGGGTTGCAGCTTCATTTATTTGGACTTTGGACTCGTGTCAACTCAACGGCAGAATATAAGGCTTAAGCTACATTTTTTTACAAGAATAAATATTAATATTGAGAACTCTAACATGGAAAATTTGTAATTAGATTTTTAGAGGGAAAATCAAGGAAGGAAAAATTCTCATAATTTGATGGATCTGATGAGGTTTGAAAGAAATTTCTGATTTTTGTCATCCAGATCTATTTAAATCTGATTGAGAAATCACCTTAATGCTGGGAAAAAACAAGTTTGCTCTTTTAAAAACAGATTTTTGTAGATTTTCTTTCTCTGATATTAAAATTTGTTTTATCTGAAACATTTAAAAATAAAGAAAAAACAGAAAAATGTGTCAGGAGGCAAATTTCGACTTTCCGTCTCGGTTCAGATCCAGTGACCGTTCCTGCCGATGCGTCCCAAATTAAAAGCAAAGCTGAGGGAAACGGGGGTGAGTGAGCGGGCGTTTTGAGGCGCGTGGCGCCCGCAGACGTTGGCACCCCAATCAGCCGTACGCAGAACGAGTCGGGACCCATCCGGTGCCAACGCCGCTAGTCCCCGCTGGAAGCCGCGCGCAGCCCTGGGAATTACAAATCCCACAATTAAACATATGGGCATTAAGATAATTGTCAGTTGTGCTGCAGTGTGTGTGTGTGTGTGTGTGTGTGTGTGTTGTGGGGGGGGAGACAGATGGACAGGATTCAGCAAACTACTCTCACACACCCCTGGGGAAAAACAGGGAAAAACAAAAAGAAACCCCAGACTTCCTGAACAAAAAGAAATTTAAATTTCTGACGTCTAAATTTGAATCTGAAATCGAGATAAAAACTGATGGAAGACGGGAGAGAACGGAGCGGAGGCTCAGAAACTCCTGAAGAAGAAGTTCTGCTGTTAGAAAGATGGACGATGCCCTCTGCTGGGCTCAGGCGGAACTGCAACATCTGCAGAAGACCAGAAAAAGCTGCAAACAAAGGAATAAAAATCACATTTAGGACATAATGCTTCATTTAGAAAAATACAGTTTATAGGGAGGATAATTCATAATAAAGCAACTGTGCCTGTAATGATCAGTCAAAGAAATCCTCCCTAAACGAGTGTTTTCTTCCTTTGGTGTCATCCAAAACATTTAATAGCACCACATTTCTTCAGAATAAAATAATTTAAATATTTTAATCTGAATTTACCCAGAGAAATAAAAGCATCAGTTATTTAGGTGCAAATAAACACCAACGACTCTTATTCCCTATTTATTCTCTTTGTGTTAAACTGATTAATTTAATCCAGTGAATTACTAAACATTACAGTCCAGATTAATACAAATAATCTGTGTTCTCCAGATTAATAGTCTAAATTAATCTGCATCTTGATGGTCCAATTCAAGCCAAAAAAAAAAACCATATAAAGTATTTTAGTTACAATAAAATTCAGTCCAACTTATTTCCAATTACATCATATTTATTAAAATAAATTAGACCAACTCACTCCAATTTCAGTTTAATCCAACAGATTTAACATGAATAAAGTCAAATTGAAGATAATTATTAAATATTTCATTCCTAAATTTAAAGTTCATCCATCTTAAATTCAACCATAATCCAGGTGTTTTTTATTTTAATCCAGATTAATGAAAACACTCCTGTTATGAATACGACTCAATTCAGTTCAATTTATTTGTAATCCAGATGATTCTATAATCCAAATAAATCCAGTTTAATCCAAATGATTCAGCATACATACAGATAATTATCACATGTTTTAGATAATTTATAAATCAATTAATTCCAGTTTAACATCAATAAATTTATCTAATATACAAAAATATAATTTTATATATAATCCTCATTTATGTAAAATTGTTCCAATACAATCTAAACCAACGGATTCAACGTAAAGTTACAAATATATTTTACTTCAAATCAATAAACACCAATTCAGTCCAAGTCATTTATAATCCAGCTGATTGAATAATCCCAACAGAGTCCAAGTAATCCAGTTTAATCCAGTAAATTCAGCATAAATAGAGATGAACATTGATGTAAAATATCCTGTTATATTTAATCTGTGCCGTTTTCTGCTGCCTGCAGTGTTCAGGTTCACCACAGCGCCCTCTGCAGGCAGGATGTGACACGTCTCCTCTGTTTGCCTGCAGGTGGGCTCTCACAGAGAAGATGGCGGCAGCGTGGGCAGTTTACGCGGCGGCCACTCCATGGGGGGTCAGGTGTCGGTTCCTCAGCTGCCGGTCCAGTCGGCGACCTCACCGGACCTCAGCCAGCCCGACCCGTACCGCGGTAAGGCCCAAAACCTGCTCTGTGCACTGGTTCAGCTTTTATTTTGAAACTACAGCAGTTTTTCATCTGTTTTTTGTCTGTTGTACTTAAAAAATGTCAATAAACATTTAAAAGCTGGAATTTTATTTAGAAAATCTAAACTGTTTTTTCTAGCTCAGCTAATCAGTTAGCATGAGTCATAGACATTAGTTCTGCTAATGCTAAAGCATTGCAACACAGTTTTTAGCAGAAGCTAATGCTAAAGTGCTAGCTTCAATTCCAATGAAGTTACATTTAGCGCTAAGTGTGCATTAGCAGAAGGGAGCCTACCACTGATCAATTATAAATATCAGTTATCAGCCATCATCAGCATCAGGCCAAAGTTATTTGCAGTTTGGTTCATTTCTTCCTAACGAACCAAACTGCCTTCATTTCTGTCAGGCAGCAGTTAGCAATGCGTAAAATAAATAAGCTGCAAACAAAGCTGAAAATGAGCCTGAAAAAGTTTTTGTGAATAAATTGAGGAGCACTTCACTGGCTGAGCGTTAAAAAGCTAATGAGGAGGCTGAACAAATCTGCAGAGTGAATATTGAGGAGGAAGGCAGCGTCTGAGCTCAGTGTGCAGCAAATTATCCCTGAGCTGGGCTGTTTTTATAAGGCTGAAAATGAGTCGCTGGCAGCAGAGTTCATCCAGCAGCGACCACAGCCAACTGGGTAATGAGGTGAGAGGAGAAGAAACGCTGGGCTGGCATAGGAACCAGGAGCCGCTCGTTTATTCTGCATCCCTTCATAACTCTGTCAAACAGCCGAGGCAGCAGGGAAGTCTCACCTTCACTTCATCACCTGTTCATGTTAAAGAGCCGGATCACAAGTTACCGACCCGTCGTTATTAGATGATTACTGGGTGGAAACGATGCCGATATGATGACTGAGAGCAGCTAGAAATGTCCAAACGTCCATTACTATTAAATATATTTATTATTATGATGACAGTAATCTGTTATTTTACTCTGCCTCAGACTATGGTTTAAATCAGAGCTTCCAAACATAAGGGTCGCGATCCCCAGGGGGGTCATGAGACACCAAGGTGGCGGCCACAAAATAACTTTCAGAATCATAGTGATGGATGGATGGATGGATGGATGAATGATGGATGGATGGCTGGTTGGATGGATGGATGGATGGATGGATGGATGAATGATGGATGGATGGCTGGTTGGATGGATGGATGGTTGGATGTATGAATGGATGGATGATGGATGGATGGATGATGGATGGATGGATGGATGGATGGATGATGGATGGATGTATGGTTGGATGGATGGATGATGGATGGATGGATGGTTGGATGGATGGATGGATGAATGATGGATGGATGGTTGGTTGGTTGGTTGGTTTGTTGGTTGGTTGGTTGGATGTATGGTTGGATGGATGGATGGATGAATGATGGATGGATGGTTGGTTGGTTGGTTGGTTGGATGGATGGATGGTTGGTTGGTTGGTTGGTTGGATGGATGGTTGGTTGGTTGGTTGGTTGGCTGGTTGGTTGGTTGGCTGGATGGTTGGTTGGATGGATGGATGGTTGGTTGGTTGGTTGGTTGGATGGATGGATGGTTGGTTGGTTGGTTGGTTGGATGGATGGATGGTTGGTTGGTTGGTTGGT